AAAAATTGTTTTGCATAAGATTAATATTTACGTGTAGTATTATCTACATTAAATGGATTATTAGTTATTAAAGTACTAGTTATTTATCTATGATTTCACTGAAGACATGTAGATGACTTGCAGAGACACATCATTTTCTCTTTACCCCATATGACACAAAAAAAATTTCTGAAAAGAGCCTAATTTCTGTATGTATCAACTTTAATGTTAGTATTTTGATGTGCATAAATAACCACAGTGTTTTATTTGTGAAGTAACTGTTAATATATAAAAAATTTAAATGTTTAATATGTTTGAACATTCCCCTACAGAGTATAACTGCTGCAACGGTCTGTATTAGTGCAGGGAAAAAATTGGTAGGGGTGGCAACAGGGGTGGCCAATGATTGGCTAAGGGTGGCCATGGCCACCTCTGGCCCCCCTTCTAGCTCTGCCCCTGTGAGAATGGGCAGACTAATTAAAATAAGTAGAGAGGCAACAGTAGCTAATAGATCTACTTATTACAACCAAATCAAAGGATTTTGGGATGATCTCATTTATTTGCAATAACAGTAAATGTCTTATCCTCTGCTAGTGCAACAGAGAGCAGGGATTTTGTTGAGCAGTTACAAACCAACTAAGACTTATTGTTCTTATTCTGTTTTGCAGCAGTCATTAAAATGGGGCGGGAGTGAAATAAAAATATTATTATTAATTATTATTAACAGTATTTAACCTTCCCAGCATAAACAAACGTCTTTTTTGTTTTTCATCCTTAATTATTAAAATGAATGACTACGCCTCAATTTTTAGACGTCATTTTCTTTCAGCATTTTTGAACCAATACCTCTTAAATATTTAGCCTTTGCTGCTCCTTTTGTTGCAAAGTAAATGTAAAAAAACAAAACTGCCTCAAAGTTATTCCCCTGAATGTGTGCTTCTATATTTTCCTTGGTTTGGATTAAACCTGAGGCAGTTCAGTTCAGGATCACCAACTCTTCATCACCTTTTACTTGTTTGCCTTAGATCTGAGCCCAGATTAAATACTTCTTTGCCATCATGAAGGACTCCTACCAGGGTGACAGAGCTGACAGCTTAAGAAAAGGTCCAGATGATGGATTGTAGGCAGGCATCACTTTTGAGGTTTGACTGGGACCCCTGTAATGCCCCATCAGAGGGACCACTTATACAAACCACCACATTTAAGCCTCAGCGATACAAGATCTGAAATAAAACAGTGGAAAGAAGATCTCTGGAGATAAAACACAGGACGTCACGTAAAGCAGCAGGGTTGTTTGTGTCTCACCCTGCTGCACATTTCATCAGCTTTGTGTCCTAAGGGGCCAGGCTGGACACTCCTGTCTTTGTTTTGTTCCTTAAAACCAGAAGCTTTCACACTTTAAGCTCTTGCCAAGTTGACTTAACAAGATTATTGGCTGCTGTCCCGAAGCGTGTTTACGTGCATTCTGTGACTTGTGAGCACCTCGTTTGCTTATGCAATACACTTAACTTGCCGTGCTGTAATGTAGAATGCTCTTGACTGCAAGGCAGGCATGTGGATTCAGAGCAGGCGTGCTGTTGGAGACCAAACTGCTGGAAACCACCCATGCTTCTCTTAATGCTCAACATTATAGGCCTACGACTCTCAGAGCTGCAACAGGCTTATCCTCAGGGGCCTTGAAGTAAGTAGTGTCAAGGAACCCAGCCTTTCTAAATCCTTGAATTATTGGTGGTTAGCTTGGTTTGGTTAGCTGTAAATTGTTGGGCTCCTCCAATTACAGTTATGATGAATGGTCAACATAATGATAAAGGAGTATACCTACAGTATGGAGTGAACAAAGACACTGTCATAAACTCTGAGGTCATTTAACAGAAAACTGATATTATTTTGAATAAATGTGCTTTTAAATTTGCAGCATTTTTAAATTAAAGGTTTTTAGGGAACTTTTGTTAAATACACACTGATATCAGAGGATAACCTCTACAGTAAATATTGCAGCACATGCATGCTCATGTTAACTTTCTGTATTTCATGAAAGCTTCACTCTGCAAAGATTATAGCTGTTCCTTGAAAATCAGCAATGCTTTTATTTCCTGGTGAATTCCAGAGCGAATGGGGTATAGCTCCTTCATTAGAAGGTCTTTGATCTATACATGAAGGTTTCCCAAAGGGAAAGAAGTGAATAGGTGGGAAGACAAAGCCAGGCAGAATTATGTAATTGTTAAACAATGTGACAGTGGATTGAAAACAACAAAAGCTACACATACCTCTATCCTCTTTTGATCCCGCTCCATGTTCAGATCCAGATGTTTTCAGCTTAATCTGTAACCTTGTGTAAAAAGTTTTTTGAAATGACTGCTGCTACAGTCACAGTTACTGAGCCATTGCGTTGCTTTATTTGTTTGGTTTTGTAATTAAAGGTCTGAAGAGTCAAATCTTTGTGTTTTATTACCTCTTTATCTTTTTATCACCTTCTCTATTACCAGAAAGCTGGTAACTTTTATTTAAAGCCTCTTTATGTTTTAAGTTGTTGGTTTTACATAAGCTTAACCTAAAGGTCTTAAGAGCTCTCTCAGACAGAAAGACCAAATAAGCTATTAGACTTTTTTTCTTCTTCATAATTCACTGAGGTTAACACCTGAAGGCAGCATAGGCTTGAGAGCTCATCACGGCTCAGAAAAGGAGCTGATGAAATAAACGAAGCTTTCTATCATCCTTTTAAGCTGAGCCATTGCTATTAAGCTCCATCACATACTTAAAATATCTATCTTATTTGCAAGTGCTCAGATAGAGCTAAATCACTCTCCTCCTAGCTTCATCTCTGTTATCCCCTGCCTTCCATCCAGTTTGCCAAATTATTGAGCAAAACCAAAAGGGAACACAACTGTAATGAAGACTATTGTTTCAGATACCATACAATTTCCAATTGTTATTTTTTAATTTGTCTTGTTCTTATTCTGATGGAACCCCTGAGCAGAGGATATTTCACATCACCAGTTTATTGTGTACAAAATATTTTTTCTTTTTTTAAATCAATTTTTGTTGTTTTATAAATCCTAATTCTTCAGACCAGATCCACTGTGTCAATCACATTTTAGATTTAGGTTACATTGGCCAGAACAACTAAAAAAAATGATAATTTTTCATCTGCTTATGAGATTGTTTAGGTTTAATATTTTGCTTAACACAGCTGTGACTCATTTTCTAGACATATTTGTGAGTGGTAACTGTTGGAGCTTTGAATCCAGGAGAAATGTTGTGAATCTCCTCTAATGTTTTTCACTGGGCTTTGCTTCACTGGTCTCTCTGGAATATTTAGTACCTATATTTTCTGCCATATGTTTTTCTTCCACCGAAACCTTCATTAACATGCTTTTCTGTATTAAGCGTCTTTTTTAATACCGGTAGTTTTTTTGCGAAGATCCAATTTTCTGAAAAACTTCAGGTTTTTAATCATCAATATTTACAGAAGTTTTGTAATGGACTCTTAATTTCTGTATAAAACATCATTATGGCACTAAAACCAAATTTTGAACAGCATCTAAAAAAGGGTAATCCACTGCTCCAAAGACATAATGGTGCAGATGCTTTCTGCTGGTATTTGCAACATTTATACTTTACAGCAGGACTGTGGAACGGTACTGGGGAAGAGTAGATGTCTGACTTTCATTAGCTGGAGGAACCCTCATGCATAACTGTGGAAGTGGGGGGCATTTTGTCCCGTTCAGCTCTGCACAATATTGAGCTGGACAGCTGGATTTTATTTGGTGACCTGTAGACATGTGTCCAAAGGCTGTCGAATAAACACAACACCTTTCTTGGCATCTCTAAAATGTGAGTATTAAATACTTTTGACAGGCAATCAGTATTTATCTTTTGGAAATCTGCTTCTTGAAAATCTTAGAATGATGTGTCTCTACTGTTGGACTGGTCAGTAAACACATGGTTTCATGATGTACATGGTGTCCTATCAGCTTTACTCATGTCCCCAACGTTAATCTGGTTATATTGTACTTTGATTGTACCAGTCGCTGGATGTGGATAGCTTCATCTCAGCCCACAGTGAAAGTCTGCACCGCCCTCTTTTCTGTAAACATGGTGCTGCTTGGAGGTTCAGGGCCTACCGTTGGCCCCTCTCACTGAGACACTGCCATTCTTTTCTTTTGTAGCCGATCCTGACTCCCCAGAGAGCCAAAAAGCTGAATTGAAAAAAACTAGAAACATTTGGCCACGGCAGATACTCTACTAGTCTGCAGCCTTTCCAGCTGTGTAAATAAATGTGAAAGAAGCACTCAGGAAATTTAATCTTGTAATTGTTTTGGCTTCCATACCAGCAAACCGAAAGGGGTCCTCTCTTTTCATGCAGAATAAATGGATCTTAAATGAGAATAGCCCTGGAAGTCATTTGACAGCACATTCCTAGGAGTTGTCCCCATCTTTTCATTATATTGTTTACTTTTTTGCTAAAGATGTTTATGTTCATGTTAGACATCAGGTTTAATCTTGAAATGTTCAATCACATTTGATAAACTCTTCATGTTCTGTGGGGAAAAAAGTGCAATAGGATTGCAACAGTTCAAATTGATCCTCCAAATGAAGTGAGTTGTTAAATGACATGCTTTAGCAGATAAACATGTGCAAGTGTTTGCACACGAGAATAGAGTCATGCCTTTTGATCATTTGTCATGAAGGCCCTTACTGGCAGACTTCCTCTCAGAGGGTCTGAGCCTCTATTAACCGATAAGTCCTCTGTCACAACACATTAGCCTTCCTCAGCCATTTGGTCAGGATGATTGCAGCTTATGTCAAGCTTGTTAGTGTTTAGAACTCTTCTACCACATGGGGGCTGAATATATGTCTGTCTTCTGTTTCTGGTTATTTCCAATCAATTCTCTGCGTTTCAGTCAAGTCAAGGATAACATGTTGTAAGCCATTTGTTCACAGCCTGAACCTGAAAGATATATTTTGCAACTCTTGTAGTATTAAGGCTGAGTGACTTACTGATGTTGTTCAATCCGTAGGCTGCGACTGGACGGTGTTTTGGTGAAAAGGATTTCCGAGGAGGCTTGGAGAACGGGATTCTACTGTGCGAGTAAGTTCCTTTGGCATCTGTCTAAACATTGTGGAAATTTTTATGTCTGTCTCTTCTGTTTGTCTTTGTCTCCTTATCATAAGCTACATAATGGCTATCTCTGACTTATCTGTATACTTTGGCTACCTGAAGAGCCTGCTTTATCAATATTTTGTGGGGGTCATTGCCAGTGTAAGTATATTTTTAATGCATGTCAAATTTTCAATGATAAGCCCAACATTAGCTTGGGGGACTCAGCATTTATAGGAAAAATAACAGCACTTTGATTTCTTACAAGAATGTAGTTCAGAGATGGAAGAGGCAGATGTGTTATATCTTTCTCATGCATCACAGTTCACTCCTTACTTACAGTAAATTAGTAGAGATATGAAAGTTTATAGAGGAAACTAAATTATCTTATGTTACTGGCCTTTAGATAAACTTCACAAAAAAGTACAGTTTTTATATTTTCTTCAGAGATTTCAGAACCAATTGTGCAGTACTTGATAGGGAATTTTACCAATAGTTTCTCATTTACAGGTGTCAGGCACATTAAGGCATTACCCATGTTTAAATATTGTCACCACTGGACATATTTGCTACCAGATTCTACTTAGTGGGCACAAAGTGAGGGTCAAACATTAGAGAGTGTGTTGCAGGATAAGCATGCTGCAGAATGAATAAAGAAGTCAACAGAACCCACATTTGGTAGTGCTGATTTATTTGAGGTTATTGTTCTAATTTTAGTTATATTTTAGCACATAATGCTCTGGATGTTTCCCAGAGTATCAGAATCATTATGATCAAAGCTCTACTTTTTATTGGGAAACAAATAGAACTTCAAATGCATCTCATAACTAGAATGTGCTGCTTTCAAGATATCTGACACGATGTAGATGAAGCTTTTAGCCTGGCATATAAATTTGGTTAGAGAATGCTGAAGGGTATTTTAATCTAGAGTTCTCTACTCCTGAAATTGATGTACCTTTTTAAAGATTGTTTACAGATAGTGAATGTTACCAATATTTTGTCCCTTTAAGATTTTGGACAGTATTCTGAGCTTCAGAAAGCTGGTATGGTGTTTTAACATTTCGCCTCAAACCTTTTAAACTTTTTTATTTAGAAATATATGATTTGGTACAAACATCTTAATATTTATTGAGTAAATGCATGTCTGTGTCTGCTAAAGATGTGAATGGAAAGGAAAGGAGAAACAACAGGCTAATGATAACTATCCTTTCTTATCTAAATGACTCAGAGATAATTGAGCTTATGCTTTTTTTTCTGTTTATTTGCTTGATTGTTTTTATGCTTCCAATTATTGATGGGTTGCTAAAATCTCCACAAAAAAGCTGCTTAAAGGATTTTAAAACATAAGATCCATGCTGTTTTCGAAGTGGCCTGGTAAGTTCTGGCTTCAAAAATCAGTGTTACGAAAATGTCTCAAGGCCCTGATGTGATTATTAGATGGTTACTAAGCTCTACGCCTTTATTTAACAAAATTTACATCTTGGTTAGAGCACATTTTGTATAGAGCTGCACCTTCATTTTACTAAAAGGCACGATCTAATGGCCCTTTGAAACGGGACGCTGTTTGTGATGTGCTTGCACAAACAAGTGCCTTTGCACTGATCTGTGCTGGCTGGTCAACACTATGGTAAGTCGTTGGGCGGTTATTTTTCTGTTGTCAGTAAAGTACTAGCACTAGCCATGCTACCGTATTTTAACAACCATAAGGCGCACCGTACTAAAAGGCGCAGTCTTAGTTATGTGTGCCATTTCTGTTTTTAACACACACATTAGACGCACCAGACTATAGGGCATGTCCTCTACTACGTTTAAATACCTCTACTGCATATTTAAAAATAGAGCGGGAGCAAAACTGAGAATGTTTGTGCTTTATTCATGTATTTATTACAAAGTATTAATCAAACCTGGGAGCTGGCCGTGAGACAGACACATCGCTGATGACACAGAGCGCTGTGATCACTCCTCTGAAACAGTTTATTGAAGCATAAATTAACCTAAAATGCAGAAATCTGCCGGCAGAATATGTTCGCTTTTATTATCCTGGTGCCTGCAGTTTAGATTATTTAGATCAAAAACACCTACCAGCTGCCGCGGTGAACCGCGAGGAGGCGACCTGGCCAGAGGCTGCCGCCGGTATGTGGGGGTCTGAGCGGCTCCGAGAGAACTAATATTAAAAGGCAGGATCGTAATCTGGATGAACTGACTGCAATGATTAAGTTTTTCAGGTGGACTTTCTCACTTAAAAACATATTAACATTACTTTATTCCCACTGATCATAGCAAATATAGCTGCAAGGCAAAGAAAGGATAGAGTAGCTCTGCCCAACGCACGTCAGACACACTTTTGCACCGCACAGCCAGGGCAGCAAAGCTGCTTCAGCTGCGTGTCAGAACTAAACTGGTACAAGCAGCAAAAATGAAGCCGCAGACGCGTGAACGTAGCATTACTTTGAACGGCCGGTTCACACCAATGTCGAGCGGTTGAAGTTCCTTTGTCAGACCTCCTGGAATAACAGCAAGCACAGCGTTCATTTGTTTCACCTTGTTTTTCACATCGGCTGTGAGATGGGCACGCATGGAGTCACAGATTAACAGCGATGGTGATGCGTGGAAAAACCACCTGGTCTCCTTTCATACACCTCCCTCAGCCACTCTTTCATCATCTCCTCAATGAGGAGATGAGGAGTTCTGCATAAAGCACATACCTGTTCTTTTATACACAATCCACGCCCCCACTTCCCCCTTTAACCTTCTCATGGTGGTCTCAACAACGTCCGCAGTAACAACACACATAGGGCGCACCGCACTATAGGGCGCACCGCACATTTTGAGGGAGAAAAAAGACGTTTATATGCGCCTTATAGTCTTGAAAATACGGTGGCTAAAGGACAAAGAGCAGCAAGAAGAGAACAGATTGAGGAATTTGGGTGTGGAAGAGCATGGCTACTATGATTGCAAACTTGTGTCATTTAAAACTTTGCAGATAATTTTTTTTTTCTTTCATTTTTTACCTTGGGCTTTCTGGCTTGTGGCTGGTTTGCTTTGTTTATTTTTGCCATGTGTGCATTTGTCACTCTGTAGTGCAGTCAAAGTAGACTATGTTAAACCTTGATCATGTTGGCAAGCACATTCAAAAAGCAGGGCCTTACACAGGGAAAGCAACTGAATATAACAGGTTTAAGAGAGCAGCAGTGATAGCAGTCTGAAAGCCCCTTTAGCCTCCCATGGCTAGTGGTCGATTTGTTTAGTTTGTAACATCATTGTTAATGCAAGTTTCTTTAAAAGGAATGCACCCCTGGTATCTTAATGATCGAAATGCTGATATCTGTGTAAGAATCAGAGTGAAGACAAATGGTCTGGATGAGACTTTGGTTCTTAATTGACCAATACCTCAGTTTTTCTGGTTTTGGCCCCAGCCTTCTGAGTATTTCTAAAGCTTTACAGCGATAAAACCTGAAGTCTTGACTTAAGACACAGGAGAACAGTTATCTGGATTCTCACTTCAAGGAACAATGTCTTTTGCTAACTCCTGGAGATTAACAAAGTTGTTTAAAAGTCTTACTGACCTGCTTTCAGTTTTGTCTCAAAATTCCTAAAGTTCCTAACCACAGATGTACCAGTAAATAAAATTAAAAAAATACCTTTTGTAAGGTAAATTTATTTATCATATATATTCAGTGTGTAATCTTTAATATCCAGTTTAGGGATAAACTAAATGCAGTTAGTTTACCCCTGATATGGATATCAAAGATTCCTCCAACCCTTCACAATTTTACATTTCTGTTGCTGAACTTTTAAAATACACTCAGTTTCCAACCCTTTCAGAGTGTAATTCTGTTAATTGCTGCAGGGGATAGCACTGAAACTTATGATTGGTCTTACTAGAAAAGTATATGATTTAACAACCAAAACACTCTCCAGCATTTTCTCTGTTTTCCTGACTTAAAAGAAGTATTTCTTTGGATCATTCTATTTGAAGCTGTGAAAATGTCTTCTTCACAAAAATTTTAAAACTAACTGTGTAAATACACCTAATTTAAGAAATGTTTACTTATTTCTAGATCGTTTTTCTGATGCAAAGGATTTTCTTAACAAAGTCCTCAACAATTGCTTATAATTTTGTTGTATTTAATTGCTTTCTTATTCAGGTATTAAAGTAACAAACACTTGAAAAATGAGGAGCGTTGTTATCCCAAACAGTAAATTATAGAGTAGAACTTGTTAATATTATCAGAAAGGTAACCCATACAAACACCTACACCACATTCATGAAGAATAGAATCTTCCTCCTCATGCAGCTTCTTTAAAGGTATTTTTGAAAAGGACCAAACAAGTATTTAATCTCTTGGAGTTGATGAGTTGGACTTTAGGAAATCAAGGTTACTAAAAAGGTAAATTATGGCATTTCATCTCATATTGACTGCTGGAATGTGGTCGGCATCACAGGACTGCTGATATTTAATCCCTCAGGGTAGAGTCATTATACAATGCTTCCTGTGATGAAAACAGACACAAAAGATGAAATATGAGGCAGAGAGACAGAAAGGAAAAGCAGAGGACTGTAAAGCTGTGTCTTTATGCATGTTTTGTAGGAATGTACAGTAGTTTCCCTAGAGAAAGATTTGCTTTCCTGTGTGTGATGAGAAATGACAAAAGAAATAGATAAGCCTTTATATGAATGTGGGTTACTGAGGTACAAAATATACTTTGATAACAAAATAGTTCATAACCTGACAGACTAACTCTGTCCTCTTTCCACAGTTTAAAACATGACCGTTATGCAAATTGCTCTCCTCAAATTGTGCTTAGGCATGATTTTGTGTCCTTTCCTTTATTTTTTCTTTTATGTGTGTTTGTGTTACACCAGTGATGACTTGTTACCTGTCAAGGGTCTGACCTAACTCTGGGCCGATGACTATTGGACACTGACACCGGGCCCCGAAGGGCTTCATCACTTGCAACCCTTCAGGAAGTAGCAACAATATTAATTGAATGGGTAGACATTAGAGACTGACACGGTAGTGGATTTTCACTCCTGTCCCGTCCCACTCCCACAGAAAAAAATTGTGTCCCGTCCCGATCCTGGGCCAGAGTAGAAATCTAAATCCTGTCCCGTCCCACTCCTGGTGAAATTACTCCCACTCCTATCCCGCTCCCATTCAGAATGATTCCCACTCCTGCACCACTCCCATTCAGCTTGCGTTGCAAATCAAACATTTCGAAGTCGAGTTCGCCACTAACTGTTGGTCCCTCCATTGTTGTTTTTGAGCGCAGGTGAAAAACTCAGAGCAGAAGCACTGTTGGTTTTTGGGTCGTGTCGTTTTTTGACTCGCATTTTAGTGAAAACTACAAAATGGTGGCGCCAGTACTGGATTTTTTTTCCGAGGTCTGTTTGTGAGGAAGTCTAACAGCAAATTGCAGAGGGGTGTATTGAAGCCCAGCAGTTCCAGTTTTCCTATCCGATGCTGTGGGATGATGGTGTTGAAAGCTGAACTGAAGTCCAGGAACAACATCTGCACATGAGTGTTCTTCTCCTCCAGGTGTGCCAAGCTCTGGTGAAGAGCAGAGGAGATGGCGTCTTCAGTAGAGTGGTTTTGTCGGCAGGTGAACTGCAACGGGTCGAATAAGAAAGATTATCCTCTCATGACCACCTCCAAATCAGGAATTGTATGGTAGAAAATCATTAATGTTGGAAATTCAGTCAAAAGGGGTTTGTGGGTAAATCCTGCTGTTGAAGCAGAGCTACGAGCATCTAAGAGCCGATTTACCAGAACCTCCCACACTCCACATGTGCAAACAAGGGAATTCTTCTTCTTCCAGCTTGAAGATTCCTGACAGCGCCATCTCTTGGCACTGAGTCCGACGTGGTTTTGGGCATGCATTGTGAGCAGGTAGATCGGGCCATACAGTGTAAGAACATACATAGTGAGCTGTGAACTTTTCCATTGTACAACAAAACCACATGATTTCGTTGTACAGTTTGAGCTGTAGCTGAGTACAACAAATGAAAATAATTTACAGAGTAGGCCCAGCTTTAGATGTTAGTGTTTCTTCATTGTCAAAGCCAGACAAGGTTTTATTCACAGATAAAATATGTTTCCACCAAGGAACTTTTAACTTTTCATAAACATATTGAGTTAAAATTTTTAGAAGAAATTTTATCAAATAAATTAAAAAGTTGAGAGTAGCCTTTTTTCGAATTTAGGGTCCTTATCAATCTTAAAGAGATCTCCGCAAGACCTTGAGAATATTTGTCTTATATTCTTTCTTTAGGTTGTACTTTTATATTGTTTGTCTTGGTCATGTAAGGGACTTCGGTCACAACTTGGTACCAGTTAATGTTTTATGACTGGACTTCTCTTTTCTCTAAATTCACGTAAAAAGGTTCATTCTTTGACTCCTGTCAACTCTATTTCTTTCTTTCTTATCAGGTTACTGAGCTCCATTAGACCTGGGTTGGTAAAGAAAATTAACCGACTGCAAACACCAATAGCTGGCCTGGTAAGTTTTTTCTATTTAACATTTAAAATAACAGCCTGTCAATTTAAACTCAAAACAACCTCTGCACCTTCCTGTTTTCTTTCTCATGCTTCAGGTTGATGTTTTATTCATCTTCATCACAGTACCTGAATACATAGGTCCAAGCCTACCTTTCTGTCTTCTTTAATATAATCTCAAATATGAAGTTTTTATCTTTTAGCCTGATAAACCAGAATAAATCTGAGATTAAATGTGTAATTTAGTCTGGCCCCCGATGAATGAGACATTGGAAGATTGTTGATGAGAACAGCCCATTGTTTTTAAACGGCTGTCTGTGCCTATTGGCCAATGCTCTGACCAATGAGCTTAACTGACTTTGACGTGGTAAGTGCTACAGAAAGCTGGTGGGGGAGTATAAACAAACAGCCTGTTGGCAAAATGGTGAATATGTCCTTCTTAAAAATGAATGAGCATAGAGTCTCTTCCTGGTCATGTTTCAACGAAAACCAAGTCTAATCCTTCCAAACCTGATTCCAAAGCTGAGTCAAACGTCAACTTTTCAATAGTTGTTGCCATCTTCCTTGTTGTTCTTTCTCCAGCGTCACACAGCTTTATCGTCCTGCCCTCAAAACCCCACCTGCTTTGCATCCAAAAATTCAAAACACATTTCTAGGGCCTGGGGTATTGATCGAAGCTAGACCACTCGCAGGCAAAAATGATTTTGGCCGCTGGCCGGTTGGGCTAGTTTACTAGGCTAGTTATTTTTAGCAAAAATTGTCGAACATGTGATATTTTTTTTGACTGGGTATAAAAATAAGATTTTAGGATTTGTTTTGTGTTAAGCTCCAGTGAATATAATAATGCCTACACACATCAAGGTTGGAATATCTAGATTTTAATCTACAAAAAAGGAGACTGCAACTAATTATTTCTTTTTTATATATGAGAGGAAAAGTCTGGTCATATTTTGCATTCAAACTTCTGAAAGTACTTTAAATATTAAAAGATTATATACTGTCCAATAGATGATAAGTGTTTTTAATTAAGAGTAATTTTCATTTTATTACAGTGTGGTATCGGCTGTTTAGCAAGTCCCAATGCTGTATCTGGTGCTTGTCACTAGGCGCTATTATCCTAGTCATCTTAAAACCATTCTTCTTCAAAATGTTGGCTACATATTACGTGTTTTTTCTCTGGCTAGAAGTTCAATAGCAAATCCTACCTCTTCAAATTGGCAATCCAACAACGAACCATTGGTGGATCAGGAATCATTAAGGTGAAATAACAAATTTTTTTTCATTTTTACCTGATGTATTACAACATCCAACTGCCATGCATGAATCAGAAATTTCAATGGTGAAGACCTCTCGAAATCTAAAAATAATTGTTGTTGATTGCAGGTCTGTATAATGGTTCCCATTGATTTTTGTTGTAAAGCAAGGAGAATGGCTCTAGGCTTACCGCACCCTGATATCACTGCCGGAAAAAGATGTTACTATATTTGGGCAAAAATGGCCACTCCCAGACTCAGTGATCGTGAGAAAAAATCTTATTTTAATTTTTTTATTAATTAACGCTAAATTAATTAAATCACCCAAAAATATTAGTTTTAGGTATAGATAATGGTCTATTGATTATTCCTTGCTGACCGGACTTTTCCTTAAAATGTGATCTATATAATGAATAAGTCATCCATAGGTTTGATAATACAAATGTCCAAAAAAAAAAAGAAAAGCTATCATAACTTGGTCGTGTGAGTTGCAAACTTTTGATCTAAAAATTTTGAAACGCAGTTTTAATAATATCAGTGCAAGCCATGTCCATGTTGTGTCAGACTGCTTTCTTTTAATGCAGCATTCATTGTTTTAGAGGGTAGAGTAATGGTAAATATTTAAGTGTTTGAGAAACGATAGCTTATTGGTCTCATTGCTAAGACAAATGAGTTTATATTCAAATTCATATAATGTCCCACATGTTTACCAACAGTATTACATAATGTTTTTCTCATACTTCCCATCGGGGCTCCTCTTCCCTCCACATAGACATTTCATCCACTGTGCATGTTTTGTATACACTCTGTGTATATAAAATAACAATAAAAGTTGTCTAAGTCAAAGTGTAATATTGCACTGCCATTATATAACATAGCATACCAATGATTCCTGAAAACATGAAGCAGCTAATGCTGAGCATGTAAGAGTATTTTCTTTCTTAACAAAAAAAACAGAAAAGCAAAAACATCTAATTCTGGATATAAAGATCTCCTCTGTTGCATATATTGTGGCCTGTTGAACCCAGGCTTGAACTTTGACATCCTCTCTGTGAACCAGTGGCAGAATCGACCTCTGCTGTTACTTTCTTCAGTGGGTACTGAACTTTCTGTGGAGTTAGACTAAATAACAAACTTTTAGTTTAGACCGAAAAGCTTCAGGTGTCTACTTGAAGCTGAAAATAAGTGAGAATTATTGCCACAGAACCAATGGGTGTCCAATCATATATTGGAGTTAACAGCAACATGACTTCTCAAGAGGAAACTTAGGATGTAGTCAGGGTTCATTTGTGTTCACAACTAAATCTAACAAGCCTTTCAGTTCACCTGAAGAGGGTAGTGGAAACCAAATGCCCTCACAACTTAAAAACACTTAAATACATTTTACGAGAAAATTTGGTCAAACAGTAACAAGTCAACTTCAGCTATAGTTGATGCAGCTCTCCAACGTGTATGTGTCAAATTATAGTCGGATTATCACATTTAAAGGGGGTACAATTTTGAAAGGATTAATCATTGCTTAATGTTTTATATTCAATGAAATGTTAACAGTTATATGTAATTTTTATCTAATGTATGTCTTAACTAGTGTTGTACCGATACCGATACCAGTATCGGACGGGGCCCCGATACTGCACTAAAATGGTGGTATCGGTATCGGCGAGTACCAACAAATAGGGCACTGATACCATTTTGAGAGCCATAAGTTTATTCAACTATTGTCACCCATTCCAGGTAGGCAATACAAACCTTTTATTTTTATTATCCAGTAGAACTTTTTATTAAAAAGTTCTACTGGATTCACTTTGTATTAGATTTTTTCCTGCCTCACAAAGGTAGGCAACAGCTTGACAAAGCCATGATGGCAATTATTTTACATTATTATGGTATCGGTATCGGCCGATACTGTACAGCCAGGTATCGGTATCGGGGCCAAAAAATGGCATCGGCGCAACACTAGTCTTAACTATGTGAAGCATTCTCAAAGTAGGTTAACAGGAAATAGGAGTAGAAAAGGGGGGAAGAAATGAGGCAGAGGTCACCGGGCCAGGTATTGAACCTGTGATGACCACCTTGAGGACCAAAGCCTCTGTACATGTATTGCATTTCTCGACCCCTGGATGACCGGTTCTAAGGACATTATCATAATTAGTTCAGCCTGTAGTGTTTTTTTTACAAATCCCTCCATTGGATAATAAATTTGCTTTCCATTAATTATTTTTGTGTAATTTTGTTACCACATAAAACTTTGTACAGAATAAAGTATTCAGTGAAAATATTTCAATCTTCTCAGATCTAGGCTGTGCTATTTTAGGGTTCACTTTATTTTTTGTGAGCAGTGTATATTTTTGATGTACATAAAAATAAACGCATGAACACTGCTTTGTTGTCTGGAGATTCTCTGCTTTCTCTGAGGAATTTCCAGCTTGAGTCTGTCTTTGAATGAGAGCCTGTGAATTGAAGAAGATCTGAACCCTGATAGTGTTCAGCTGAGTATAGTAAAATACAGTAGAGCTCTTTCATGACGACCTATGACCTTGATTTAAATGAAGTAGCCTTTCAGGACCCATGCTCACATTTACAGAATGTGTGAAAGTTGATAGCATTGCAGCTCCATTCACCCTTTATCCGCTTCAAATCCCTACCTTATTTTTACTTAAGGAGCCATTGAGGTTTGTTTTAGCTAGTATTTTTTTTATTTAATCTCAAACAGGATCTGAGTTCCAAATGCTGTTAAGAAGAATAAAAACTTCATTTAAACATTCTATGATTGGAGCCAGATAATTTTCATGACTGTCAGAAGAACCAGGTTAAAACAAATAAGAGCTGGTTTAAGCAAGGCACTTGCATTTTTGGAAGGCCTCAAGTTCTGTGGTTCAAATCTCGCAGACTTGGACAATATAAAGCTTTAAACTCAGTGCTAATTCTGACATTTTGAATTGAAAAGGCTTATTGGATTGGAAGCAAAACGTCTTCAAACTTGGAAACAAAGTCCAGTAGATTTTTTTTTTACTTTTTTGGAACTTGGACCCTGGGTTCATGAGCACGACCCTTAGCCCCAGAATCCTCCTTTGGCATTGCACAGTGGCAATCCACCTTCCCTAAATGATTAATTGAAAGCTGAGGCCATTTACTTTGGAAATCATTAAGTTGCAACGGGACATTTTTTTTTATAATTATTAACTTTTTCAACCTTTTAAACAAGTTTTGGACTATGTCAAGTTGAGGTCTGACATTTTTTGGTCCATTAACACTTTGGTTCTCCTCCTTTTTTCCCCCATATTATATATTTGCTGCAGTGTTTAGGATTATTGTAATAGTTGTGCAAGTTTTCCAAACTTAACATCCAAAAAGACACCCACACATTGATTTTAAGAAGACGTGGATGTAGAGGGATGATATTTAATTCAGTCACCGGAAGGTGCAAGATCCTTGGGCTGCAATCCAAATCTGCATAGTCAGGCCTCCAACACTATGCTTTACTGTTAGGATTTTGTTTGTGACCTTCAAACATCCTCCTGGGCAATATCATCAAGCAGGTTTGCATTTATTTGACCTGTATAAAAGATGGTGATATAGTTAGCCCTAACTAAACCCAACCCATACTTTAATTTTCCTTTTAAAAAGATGGAGCTTCTACCATAGTTCTTCCAACAGTCCATACCAGTTCTGTACTCTTTCTGCGTGTACGCTTTGTACCCTACATCTGTTAAATCCATTGTTTGACCTTGGTATACATTTTCTAGGCAAT